CTTCTTATTGAGGGTCTTCCTCTCTTTCATTGATATTCCACCTAAGTATGATGTCTTTTTCCTGGAAATAATCTCTTCTAACTACATATGCAAAATACACTTCACCATCCTTGCCTCCCAGGAGCACTCTGGCTGCACTTTCTCCAACACATACCTAATTGTTCTTTTGCCAGTCCATGGTACACTCAGCACTTTTCTCAAACACCACAATTCAAAGGCACAACTCAACTCGATCCTTCTTCTGTCATCCTTATTTATTGTCTGGCTCCTTAGGATACATAGCAGGTGATTGAAAAGACTGTGGCCTGAAACAGACTTACCTTGTTTTTAAACATCATTGTTCTTCAGTACTTTGGAGAGGTCCCTGACAGCAGACTTTCTCAGTTCAATACATGTTTTGATCTCCTCACAGTATCAGTGGTGTTCTTTGTCGACAATTTCCTCTTACTTAGATCCACAATTTCAATCTTTTCTCTATCATGTTACCTACTGACCTAGCTTTAAGGATTTTCATTTTCTTCCCTTTTTATTCTCCAACTCCAGTTCTTAGCACATCCCCTTCTAGTATTTTTGCTTTGTCTTCTTGAGATGCCCTTTGAAATCTTCTGTTCATTTCTTTAACTTCTCCATCTCTTTCCTTTTTTTAGCATTTCAATGCTCTAGTGCAATTTTCAGTCTCTTCTGACATCATTTCGGTCTTTTCTTTTTCCCCTGTGTTTGCTTGCTTCAAGGATGATGTCTTCTATGTAATCCTACAAGTCATCTGCTCTTCAATCATTAGTTTTCAATACCTTAAATATATTCTTGAGATAGTTTGGGGTGTTTGGTTGTGTGTTTTTTTAAATTTAGGGGTAGATTTAAGGTACTATTTTGGTTGTTGTGGACTTGTTTTCATTTTCTTCAACTTTAACTTACACATGAGTAATTGGTGGTCCCTTCCACAGTCAGCACCCTGTCCTGGTTTTGACTTTTGATATTGAGATTTTCCAAGCATTCTTTCCCAGATGAAGTTAATCTGTGTCAATTATGAGTCAATTCCTACTTACCAAGTTTGAGAAGCCAAGTTTTCCTGTAGTGTTCACCAGCCTCTATCTGGACTGATTTGAAGACTTTTTTTCTTTCTTTCTTTCTTTCTACTGCCTTATAAGCTCATATACCACTTCCTTTATCTTCCACCCTTGAACAGATTTTGAAATTTAGCACTTTTAAGTGGTAGAATGTGAAACTTTTGTTGTTTCTCTGAAGCACCTGAATTGAACGTGGCACAGAGAGGAGAATTGCAGTTGTTTCTGGTCATCCCTTTCAAGAACAGCCTCGTTTTAGTTAACTCAAGTTGGATCTGGTCTCTTATTGCACTGCAAAAATAATGAGTCTGATCAGATGTGAAAGGCAAAAAGATCTCACAGCCATAACTATTGTGTTTTATTATTTTATTGTGATTTGTATGAAAGTTCACAAGTCGGTTTTTTATTCAACCATCTATGTATTGTTTTAGAACATTAATTTCAGTGCCCTCAATATATTCACATTTTTCCTATTTCTACCACAATTCTCATTACCATTCATCCTCTGTACCCACCTTTCCTACTCTCAGGGCTTTAACCTTGGGCAAATGTTGCTTATTGGCTTTGCATGAATGACCATTTTAAGGAGTGGTTTTGGGGGAGGAAAGGCAGGTCTTACCAAAGTGGGAAAGCTTTCCTTATTGATATCCCTTTGGTATCCTAACTGCCAGAATTAACCAATTCTAGACAAGGTCTGAGCACGGTTCTTTGAGCACAGAATACTAAAAAAACGGAAACTTTCAAATTCTACAGATTTCAAGCTTACTATTGGTCATTTCTGTCTGGTAATTTAAAGAAATGTTGAATGCTTCATATAGGAACTAAAGGTGTAAAATTACTAAATTCATTGAACTTGTGAAAGAAAAATGTTGGGTTGAAGAATTAGAAGAACCTTAGAAAAATAACTCTCCATACTCAACAGAAAGGTGGCTTCTTGACTAAAAGTCCCTTCGTTTTAGTAATAAGGGGGATTTTGTTACTGTTATAAAGTAGGATCTGACTGCCAGCTGACCCACCAGTGAATGTTCAGGGGTAATTAATTGCAGGGGAGGAGATTGCCCATTTTTCTCCAGCAGAGAGGCTGTGGCATTCCAACCATGTACCTTTGGGTTGGCATTCCAACTCCTTACCACTTCACCACCAGAACTCCCTATCAATACGGATAGGGCATGCTTAAAGCATGCTTAAAGCAATCCGAGTACAGATACAGAATCTTTCAGATTTACAGATACAGATTTTTCAAGGAGATAGAAAAGGCAATTTGCAAGTTTATTTGTAGAGAAAAGAGACCCTAAATAAACAAAGCATTTCTGGAAAACAAGAATGTAGTGGAAGGCATAGCACTCCCTGATCTACAGACTGGTAACAAACATTTGGTAATACCATCTCAGACAAGAGTCTTATAATGAAGTTTACAGAATACTCCTGGGCCTCCACAAAAAAAAAAGACTGATAACCCAATTACAAAATGGGAAAAAGACATGGAAAGAATTTTCAAAGAGAAAGATATTCAAATGTCAAACAGACACAAAAAGAAATGCTCAAAATCACTGGCAGTAAGAGAGATGTAAGTCAAAACCACAATGAGGTACTATCTCATTTCAGTAACAGTGGCAAAGTTTAACAGGACCACAAGTAATAAATGTTGGAGAGGATGTGGTGAGAACTTCTATACATTGTTGGTGGGATTATAAAATAGTACAACCATTCTAGAAGGCAGTTTGGTGCTTCCTCAAAAAGCTGATCATAGAAATTCCATATGGCCCAGCTATTCCACTACTTGGAAGATAACCCAAGAAAATGAGACCTGAGACACAAATGGAGATTTGTACACTAATGTTCATAGCAGCATTATTCACCATCACAAGAACATTTAAATAGCCCATACATCCAAAAACAAATAAATGGATTGAGAAATTATGGTACATTCACACAATGGAATACTACGCAGAACTCAGGAGCAATGATTTTGTAAATTATTACCTAACTTGGAAAGGACTGGAGAGCATTATGCTGAATGAACTAACTCAGTCCCACAAGGACAAATATTGTATAAAACCATTATTGTAGAATGAGTATAAGGATCCAAGGCAAGTAGGGGAGAGTGGAAGCAGAGGGATGAGGATGGGCAGGGAGAGCGGGGATAAATGATGGAGTTGTACAATTTGATGGGTAGGGGGTTGAGGGAAATTGAAAGAATCTATTTTCAAAAACAATGTATCTGAATTTTATAAATTAGTATTTAAAAAAGTCAACTTGAGGAGGGGGATGGGAGACGGGGGTAAAATGTGCAGGAATGAATGAATGAATGAATGAATGAAAATCTAACTTTTCTGTAAACTTTTATTTAAATCACAATTAAAATTAAATTTAAAAAAAAATCTACTATACCAAAACAGCATGGTACTGATACAATGACAGGCACATAAACCAAGGGGACAGAATTGAGAACCTCAAAATTAACCCATTTATCTACAGTCAACTGATATTAGAATAAGGAAACAAAACCTATCAAATGAGGAAATGACAACCTCTTTAACAAATGGTACTAGCAAAATTGGACTGCTAGCTATAGAAAACTGAAGCAGATCCACATCTCTCACCATACACAAAAAGCAATGCAAGATGAATCAGAGACCTAGGAGTAAAGCCCAAAACTACAAAGATTATAAAAGACAAAATGAAACCAAGTTTAGAAGGTCTCAGCTATGGTATAAAGAAGCTGACAAATAGGGCCAGAAATACACAACCAGGAGAGGATAAAATTGATGAATGCAACCATCTAAAGTTTAAATCCCTGTGCGCATCAAAGACTTTTCCCAACGGGGTGAAAAGGAAACTACCAACTAGGAAAAAAGACATTTGGCAATGCCATCTCAGACAAGGGTCTCGCATTGTAAGTTTCCAGAATCCAACAGGGCCTCCACAAGAAAAAGACTGATAACACAATTACAAAATGGACAAAAGACATGAAAAGAATTTTCACATTGGAAGACATTCAGTAGAAATGCTCAAAATCTCTGGCAATAACAGAGGCACATATCAAAACCATAATGAGCTACCATCTCGCTCCAGTAGCGGTGGCATAGTTCAACACGACAGCAAACAATAAATGTCAGAGAGGATGTGGAGAGATAGGAACTCTCATATACTTGTGGAGAGATTGTAAGTGGTACAACCTCTCTGGAAGGCAATTTGGTGCTTCCTCAATAAGCTAAACATAGAAATTCCATATGATCCAGCTATTCTATTGCTAGGAATATACCCCAAGGAAACTAGAACTGAGGCATAAATGGACATTTGTACATCAGTACATCATAGCAGCATTATTCACCCTCACAAGAACATGGAAACAGCCCCAAATGTCCAAATACAATCGAATGGATTGAAAAACTGTGGTACATTCACACAATGGAATACTATGCAGCACACAGGAGCAATGATTTAGAAAATTAATACATAACTTGGGAGAGAATGGAGAGCATTGTGCTGAGTGAACTAATTCAGTTTCACAAAGGCAAATACTGCATAAGACAATTATTATAGAAAAAGAAAGATAACAAGTAAAATATGTATGAGGATCCAGAGAGGGGGAGATCAGAGTGATGAGGACGGGCAGAGGGAAATCATAGGGTCACACAATTTGGCGGGTGGAAAGAAGGGGGCGGGGGTGAAGGAAATGGGAAAGATCTTGTGGGGATCTGGAAAGACAGGGAAATGGTGGGCATAGTTCAATGGTAATGATTGTATGAAATACAATGTGACTGAAGGATAATGTGAAACACAATGTATACGAACTTTGTAAGTAAACCAATATAAAATAAGTAAGAAAATAAATGTAGGGGTAATATTTGGTTACAGTGGGCAGTAGAGCAATCTAGCCTCTCTCTCTCCCTAGAACCAGGTGCTACAAACTCTTGTCTGCTCTCCCTACAGGAGGACTACAACCAGCTAAGACCACTCTCCTATCCCAACACGGACGTGTTTCTGATCTGTTTCTCTGTTGTCAATCCTGCTTCTTACCACAATGTCCAGGAGGAATGGGTCCCGGAGCTGAAAGACAGCATGCCCCATGTGCCTTATGTCCTCATTGGGACCCAGGTTAAAGCTCGGGATGGCGGGGTAGCTAAGGGAAAGGGTGGGAAAGGAAGGATTACCAAAATAAAGACCCTGTAGACGGCACCTAAACTACAAGCTACCTCAAGAATGCAGTAATCTTAGCACTAACCCTCTCAGACATCAATATGCTAGAACTGCAATTCTTAGCTTATACTTGTAAAAGACAATCGTTACGTTTTAAGTGCAGTCAAGTCAAACTTGATGCAAAAGACAATAGATTGACTGTGTAATATGAAGCAGGAAGTTTTCATAAGGCCTTTAAAAAACTAAATGTTCAACTAAAAAAATGATTTTTGCTCTTGCCCTGAACCTCACCCACTCCTGGAGCCAGAAGAGTGAGGTGAGGGTGTCAATTACACCCATTAACTACTTGGTTGTTGGGTTTGTTTTGGTCAGGGGTGAGGGTGGGTTGTTAATATATCAAATGCATGGTAATTTTAAAGGCACAAATAGGTGTGAATGTCAAAATGACCCTAGTTATAGCAATAATGACAAGAACTCCTTAATAATGCTCCTGGAGAAAAAGAACAAGTGCTATTCTCTATTGACTATTGCCTTTAACAGGTTGCCGCAAATGACAGCAAAATGTGCTTCTAAGCAGTCGTCAATTTAAAAGTATGGCAACTTGTTAAGTACATTGTTGTCTATACCTTAAAAAAAATTAAACCAAATATGCTAAATAAACATGTGATTATAATAATGCTTATAGTGTTTTCAAAATTCACAGAACTCCACAGTTTAAATCATCAACATTAAGCCAATTGTACAAAAGTATCAAAAATTGTTCCACCCTTTTATATAAAAAAGAACAAAATCATCTTAAATCCAAATGACTATTAGAAAGGAATAGAAATTAATTTTTTTTCATATGGCTCCTTCAAGATTCTTCTACTTACATTTTGTCTCAAAGAAACTTTAAAATACAAAGGAAAGCAAAATATTTCTTAGTATAAATATGTAATTATACATTATGTGTATTTACCTAGAAACAAGATCAAAGTTCAGTTCCTCTCTCTAATGTGAATGATAATAATTTCTTCTCATGAAGTTTTTGCTTTAAATTTAAACTAGTAATTATTAATCATACTGATGGAGCTTGGATCCTTGCTGCCATGATATGATAGGAAGTAAGACATGTTTTTGAGTCATTGTTGTTGTTGTTATTGTTAAGTGCTGTTGAGTCACAGGCGATTCATAGCGACCCTATGAATGAAAGACCTGAACACCTGTATAATTTTAATCCTTTCTCCAGGTTCATAAGGTTTCTGGAGGCAAGCTATTTCGGAAGTGTATGCCCCTCACTGCTGCTTCCAAGCTTGTTTTAATCGGGGAACTCCACCAAACACTGTCCACCATGGGTAACCATTAATGCATTTGATACATCAGTGTCAGTGTTCAGCATCACAGCCACCACGAGTTACCTCTCTGTCCAGCAAGTGGACAGACCAGAGCTACATGAACTAGAAGAATGTTTGACCAAAAACAATTAAAAACAGGCCTGTGAGCCGCGGATTAAAGTCACCCACCTTTAGCTTGGTAGCATCACTTTCTGCCCACTAGGCCAACTGATCTCTCTCTCTGCAGTTGTAGTTAAGTCATTAGTATGACTCTCTCTCTATGCTGTTGTTGTTAAGTCATTGTTGAATCATTAATATGTGTTTAATAACAGATTAGCATAATATTTGAACAATTAAATCCATATAAGTACTGAATGAGATACTAGTTACACAAACATACTAGTTTTCTTTACCACAAGAGCTTTCATATTGCCACATTCATACCCATTTGTGTATCCAGGGGATCACATATACAGTGAGATTTTAAATCAATCAAACTTTTTAAACTACAGAGCCTAATTTAATTGTTTATATTTTCAAAATTGCTCTATTTGTAAAGACTAATAATGCTTATTGCTCAAGAAAATGTTTTGGAAGCTCTTCCTTGGGACTTGCCTTCAGAGCCGGTAGTGTGTTTGTTGAATATTTTCACAGATGGCCAATCTTCATTCCTCAGAGCAGAGATTTGGTTTGGAAATGCCACATAGACACATGCAAATGGATTCAGATCCAGAAAATGACCTACTAAGCAGTGTCTAATTGAGGAACATAATTTGCAATCAAAGCAATTGTTGCTTTACCACAGTGAAGGTACTATGACTATCTTTTGTGACTTATAAAAGCAAACCAATAGGCTATTTTTTTTCCTCAAAGAGACTTTATAAGCCAGCGTAGATCTTTATGGTAGCAGACTGCTTCATGTTTCAGCCATCAAAATGCTGGTACATTCAAATAACCAGCTTTTCAATTATCAGATCAACACTTAATCCACTGTATTATTAAAGTCCCTTATGATCAATTGCTGGTATCTAAAATATAAGAAATTTCAAAAACATCTAAGACAGCAACAGAATCATTGAAGTTTTCAGCCTCCCAGGGTGCCTACTTTTGAAGAAGAGGAAAGTGTTTGAGTTTTCAAAGAAATCACTTCATTTTTTCAGGCAAACTTCCTTAAAGAAAACTCTATATTCAAAGGGAAAGACTGACCACAGTTAAAAATTTGGCAAGGCCTAGAAAAATAGGCAAGCTTATCATATGTATATCTTTTGCCAGATCGACCTTCGTGATGATCCCAAAACCTTGGCCCGTCTGCTGTACATGAAAGAGAAGCCCCTTACATATGAGCATGGTGTGAAACTCGCAAAAGCGGTACAAATTTAATTATAAATGTGTGCTTGCTGAGGGGAGAGTTTGGCTTGCTTCAAATGCTTTGGGGGTGGGGGGATGACCTACACAGAGATTTGCTTTAAAACAGAGGTTTAGAATCTTCTCTGGTTTCCATTCTCCCCTCTGTTCTAGTTAGACTGGAACAGGCCACTTAGTGATTCTTGTCAGCCCATGTTGTCTGTTTTTCATTAAGAAATAAATCTGAGGAACTCGAATAGATGAAGCAGTCCTCATTTGATTTAGCAACCTCTAGAATATCCACTTGTCATGTTTCAGATGAATGAAAGGAATCCTTAGATGTATATTTGTAAATTTCACAGCTTATCATCGGTGTAATTCACTTAAATAATTCCATAAGAGAAGCTTTATTATATTCTTGGGAGAAATGGAGATTAGCATCTGGGACGGGTGTATTTGTGTAATATTTCTCACTGTGTTATGAATAGCCACTTAGAGGGGCCTGGATTGTGTCACAAACAGCATCTGCAAGAGGAACAGAGACTGAAAAATAACTAGTTGAAGAATCCTAGTGGCTGCTGCTCAGATAATAGCAACTTGCTCATAACTGGAACTGTTTCCAGAACGCTTTCTTGAGAATTGAGTATGAATAGTGATTTTCGTTAAGGAATTATTTTTAAAAGTATTTTCCACATAACAAAGTTTTGTCTCCCTATTACTATCAAGATGTATACAAAGAGGACAGAAAAAGACGTACTTTATAAAGCAAGTAGTTTCTAACATGTTTCTATAATCAGAATCCATTTCCTCATTTAGTCTCAAATCCATCAACATCAAATTAGCAGGTTTACATTTCTGTTTTACCTTCTAAGTGACTAATCCTGACCAAGCACATGTACCAGGCAGTCTAAGTCTGCCAAGAAAAATATTAACAACCGTTTCTTTGTTAACAAAAACATACACATTTGTCTGACTTGGATATACTCAAAAACCCCAAAACTAAAAATGGTGCACTAAAATAGATATTATATAAAATTTCACACAGTGACTGAGGTAATAAGGGCAGATGCTCCAGATAGGGCAGGGTTCAGAGATATTGTACATAGGGTTGCTATGAATGCAAGTGATTCAACAATACATAAAAACAACAAAATATAAAATTTTCTTTTTAAGGGTGCAGGACATGAAAAGACATCACAATTATTTGAGATAGTAGCTTCTACCTACTTCTACTAATAGTCATGTTAATGCTACTAGTACTAGCCATTCATGAAGCTCTTAGGATAATTAGTAAAGACAGTTCCCAGGTCATCAAAGACAGCCAGTTCTAATGGAATCTTTCAAGCTGAAAATGTGTGGTCAAGTCATAACAGGTATATCTGGTTCTTATTTAGTCTTTTGTTAGTGCAAAAAAGAAAAAAAAGTCAAAACGTCTTGAAGATTTTTCCATGACTTAAAAGGTGAACTTCAACAAATGGAAGTGATGGGTTTGTTGCACAAGTAGAGGTTAGTTCAATTGTTCTAAAGTGAGGGCAAATTCATGTGATTCTAAAGGGAACACTATGTATTAATTTAGACAATTATCTGTTAAGTCAGCTGTTTATAACTGGGGGCTTACTGTACTTCTCCAACCATCTCATTTGATCTTCATTTGATCCCCTAAGAAAATAGTGTTTTTATCATTTCATGGGTGAGGAAATAGTCTTAAAGAGAAAAAATATGTCTGATTCACACAGCTGATAGCAAAGACCAAAAATTCTAAGCCATATTTGTAGATTTCACTACCTATGCATCTGCCCACTGTGCACATTATCTTCTCTCGAAGACCAGTTGCCCTGGGCTTGGCTCCAACTCCTGGAGACTTTGTGTGTGCCAGTCAGTGCTGAATTGAGCTTCATTGAGTTTACAGTGATATTTTTTTCGAGTAGATCACCAGGCCTTTCTTCTAAAGCACCTCTGGGTTGACTCACTTCACCAGTCTTTTGGTTAGCAGCCGAGCATGTTACCAGTTTGCTCTTTGCCTCTCCTGTTTTGCTTTGTTTTGTTTTCCTCCAGTGAAATGCATACATGTCTTAAGTTCTTCTACCATCTCAAACATTGAGCCTCATATTTTCTTGTTGTTGTGAACAGTAGAGTCAGAACCAACCCATAGCTGACCCTCCACTGGGTTTTTAGAGGCAGTTAATAACATGGGAGGAAATTGCCCATCCTGCTCCTGCAGAGAAGCTGGTGGCCTCAAACCATGTGCCTTAAGGATTGCAGCACAGCTTCTTGTCACTAGGCCACCCGAGCTCCATGATTTTTCTTATTAAGGTGTATAAATAGCTACAGATGCATATGTGATTATACACAATAGATTCTTTTACTACCCATTGGCTTTGGCAGGAATTTGGTTTCTGTATTCTTTGTTTCTGAATCTTCCGTCCCCCGCCACCATCCTGTCAGCATCCTAGGCTTACTTCTTCAGTTGAGAAGTCGTTTACCCCCACCCCAACCACCACCTCTCAGAAGAAATCATTGCAAAGCCTCCCATCTCATTACATACTTATTTTAGGAACAATGGCTGAGTTCACCACTTTATTGCCTTTTGCCAGTTTCTCCTAGCAACTGCTCTCAGATACTGAGAGAATCATGTTTTGCTTACAGAATCCAATTTAGAAGAAAAACCAAGCAAGATTTTTTAACTTGTTTCATCACAACTCATGTAATTATAGAGATGCGTTGTGTTTCTCTACTCTGACTTTTCTGTCATTTATAATAACAACTAGCACTTATGGAGTGTTTGCAGTGCACCAGGCATGGTGCCAAGCCTTTCACCCGCCTTGTCTTAATTAATCCTCACAGCAACCCCCTGAAGTGTGTGTATTATTATCTCAACCTTTCCAAAGGAAACCGAGTCTTAGGTTAGAGACACAGCTAAGAGGCAGCAGGGTTAGGATAGAAAACGACACTTGCATTGTCGTATTTTCCTGTTTTACATGTGTAATGTGAAAAATAAACTCTTATGTTTAGGGAATCTATTTACATTGAAAGGAGCCCTGAAGGCACATTACATAATGTATTGGCCTGATAACCCAAAGGTCAGCGATTCAAATCCACCAGCTTATTTGAGGAGGAAAGGTGGACATTCACATGCTATTAAGATTTAGAGCCTTAGAAGCACAATAAAGGATTATTGTGCACTAGAAATCACTTGATGGCGGTTGGTTTTGTGTACTAAAGATCCTTGTTTTAATAAAATATATTGTGAATATACATATTCACAACAAAGCCTTTATCATTTCAACAAATTTTATATGGAATTACATTCTTCAAATTGTCTAACTGTTCTCACTATCCTTTTCCAAATTAATCCACATGAAGGGGTCGTTGGTAGCCTAGTGGGTAGGGAGTTGCCCTACTCTGTGGGAGAAAGATGGACAATCCTCTCTCTGAAAGCCCACTAGAAGGTCAGTTAAGCGTCGGTTCCAATTCAATGGCAATGAATTCTTTTTTAACGGCAATGAATTTTTATGAATTTTTTAATTTAACATAAAATCACTGCCCCTAAACTTATTTCAACAATTCAAGAAACTGCTGTGTCAGTTTCTAAATCTTCCTATTTAATATTTATATTCTCATAGTTTAAATACTTTATTAATGCTGACTTTTCTATCTGGTCCTTTGAATCAGTAATATTCAATTTTCATGACATTTTCATCTATAATCTCTTTTCATCTCAAGGGATATTTTTAAATCTTTTTAAAGCACATTTCTGTATCATACATATTTACATTTGCTTACAGGCCAAAGTTAACCACATTTACATAAATATTTTCTATCATATTTATCATAAATATTCATTGTATTTTACTTTTTTCACTAATGTATTTCCTCCCCTGTCTAATTTTCCTGTTTAGCATATATTTATAAATGTCCAGGTTGCTATTGGGATTGACAGTGATTGAACACCTAATATATGTAAGGTAGTATGGGACATTTTCATTCTAAGATTCTAATTCTTGTTCATTCTCTTTCTGATTCTATTTTATATTTGATGCACCCTAAATATGATTTTCTGAGATCAGACTTCCTAAGGTATTTCTTGCTACAATTTTCCATTTTCCCTTTTTAGACTTTGGCCTCTTTTTCTCTCCTTGTTCTTCACCACTCTTTGTACCTATTGTCATTCTGTTGTGACTCTTTGGTTTAGTGCTATTTCCTGTTTAATGTGCACAGAGGGATCTAACAATGCAAAGTTGCTGCAAAAAGATCCATGTCAATCATCTTAAACTAATATTCTCCTCCTAACTGAAACAAGTCACTTTTATTCTCCTTTTATGCACGTGGAAAAAACTATTAAATGTCCGATTACCAGCAGAAACTAGCAGGTTAAACTCTTTCAGAAACATCTTGGAGAACAGAGCTAGTTATCAGTTTCTGAAAGGTCACAACTTTAAAAAACCCATCGAGCAACATATGGACTTGTCTTGAGTTGAGACTGAAATGGCAGCAACTAACATATTCTGGCCATTTCCACTTTCCCCATGGTCATTGATAATCACTCACTCAATTCATTGTGGGGGCCCAAATTACAGAAATAAGGGAAACACACCCTTGCTCTCAGGAGGCCCTGAAGCTGGCACGGGAGGGAACAGGCAAAGGTACTTCCACTGAGCATGAATATTAAATAAAAAGCCAACCAACTGCCATCATAAACTCCAACACCTAGCAACCAGAAACAATAGAGTAGAACTGCCCAGAGGGTTTTCAAGACAATAAATCTTTATGGAAATAGACTGCCACATCTTACTTCCACAGAGCTTTTGGTTAGCAGCTAAATGCTTCCATACACCACCACCAGAGATGCTTGTGTGACAGATACATACCAAGTATTAAAGTAACAGAGAGAAGGAAGGGGCTCATTCTTTCAGAAAAGGAGGAATCAGAATCTCTCTTGGAGTTGATATCTGAGTCAGAAGAATAAGGTCAAGTTTTGGAAGTTGACAAAGCTGAGAAATTGTGACCTGAAATCCCATACTAAG